CTGAGGGTTCAATACAGCATTTAGCAATGTTTGTGTTGATTAAACCCTAATAAATAAGAAAATAATAAAAAGAAATTAGTATATAAACACAAAATGATTATTTTAGTTTAATAATGTCTATTTTATAATTATAATCTCAAAAAAGAATGAATAGAAAAGTATTTTATAGTAGGAAGTAGAAAACTGTTAGGCAATTAGGCGAGGCGAGCCTCAAAGGGTGCCTTGTTGCCTAGGCGTCGCCTTGACAACTATGGGAAGTAAGGATAGGGTGGGTCAATCGGAGTGCAAATGCCATAGCTGATTCATTAGCTAAGCAAGGGGTGGGGAGAGATTCATTGTTTTGGGCACAATTGTAAGGGATTTGGGGTTTCGTGGGGAGGGATAAGAGTTTTTATCTCTCATGAATTTAAACTGTTTTAACAGTCTGTAATTACCACTTTCTTCTCAGATTAATAAAATTGATGTTATTGATAAAAAAAGGCTGGCTAAAATAGAACTGTCAAGCTCCAAGTAAACACAGATGTTTGACAAGAGAAGTAAGAAGCATAGAAAAGGAGCTTAACACAACTCTTGAGTGGGTGTCAGGATCAGCAAATGGGATGGCCGCTCCCTAGCAAGTAGCAACTAGCAATACAGGGGACTAGTAGAGACCAACTCTACTGGAGAACACAGCTCTTAGTTTACTAGAATTAAATCCTGCTTCTCTTTATTGTGTATTTGAGACAATGTGCCTGGGTAGCTTGGCAGATGCTTTCGCTGACTTTCTTGCCAAACAAGGGGTATCTAGGGAAGAGCTCTTTTGGGAAACTTTGTAATTTTTTTCTTGTTTTTCTTGTCTCGCTGACTTTCTTGTTTTTCTTGTCTCACCGACTTTCTTGCCTCGCACCTCTCCAAGGGAATTCTAACAGCTTATCTTCTTTGGTTAATGAAATTATCTTTAAACTATCAAAAAAAGTGTTCCTATGAAAGGGATATCTTTTATTCTTTCTGTAACTATAAACATCTAAACTATTCATTTACTATTATTATTATTGTTGTTGTTGTTATCCATGTTTTGTGGAAATTTCTAACGTTTATTCATTTGCTATTATTATTATTATTGTTGTTGTTGTTGTTGTTATCCAACACATGGCAGATTAAGAAATTATATATTGTTTCTTATTTTAGAACTCCTGTCCTTTTTCTGTAATAAAGCTTGGGATGATTTTTCTTGCATATGACAAAACCTCCTTGACTTCCTACCTTTTACTCTTTTTTTTTTTTGTTGAACATGTTAGGTTAGAGCAAAACACAAGGAAGTTTGTCTTCATAAAGACAGTCCTCTGGGAGAAACAATTCTTGAATGCTACAACTGTGGTTGCAGAAATGTGTTTCTTCTTGGATTTATTTCTGCGAAGACAGAGAGTGTTGTTGTTCTTCTTTGTAGAGAACCTTGTTTGAGTGTCAATGCATTGAAGGATATGAACTGGGACTTGAGCCAGTGGTGTCCTCTTATTGATGATAGGTGTTTCTTGCAGTGGCTTGTGAAGGTTGGTTATTTATTGTTGTTGGATTTATCCAGTTTTTTTTCCTTTCCTGTGAGATTACTTCGAATTGAGGTTTTCTGCATTGACTTATTTCTTGCACTTTGCAGATCCCATCTGAACAGGAGCAATTGAGAGCACGCCAAATTAGTGCTCAACAGATAAATAAGGTGGAAGAGCTTTGGAAAACTAACCCTGATGCCACTCTTGAAGATCTTGAGAAACCTGGAGTGGATGACGAACCTCAACCTGTAGCCTTGAAATATGAAGATGCATATCAGGTGTCTGGGTTAAGAAGCCATAATTTTTAGTAAAAGCAAATATTTATGTCAACAGTTATTGTTCAACACTTCAACTTTATAAGTATGTCATGCACTAAGTTGTGGTGGAATCTAACCAATTCTATCATCTATCTGCCTCTAACTAGAGAGGTCTCATGATGTTCCACATTTTTTATCTGTTTTGCAGTATCAAAATGTATTTGCACCGCTTGTCAAACTTGAAGCTGATTATGATAAAGTAAGTATCCATTTTATTTTGGTCTACTCAATGATTCCAACTTCAAAATCTCTCTCTATATATATTTTTAATTTTTGAATTTGAGTGCCTTGTATTTGTAAGCTGTAGCCTATTTTCCTTTTTTCTAAATGCAAACTATATGCTACCTGAAGTTTTTTTTTCTTTATTCTTTCCATCCATCAATGAAATGAGCTTCCATGAAAATTTCTGATTATAATATAACTGCAATTTTGTTGCAGATGATGAAGGAATCACAGAGTAAAGACAATGTAACCATACGGTGGGATATTGGTCTCAACAAGAAACGCATTGCATACTTTGTCTTCCCAAAGGTAGTAAAAGTGTTCCTCTATTGCTTTTTTCTCCCATATCCAAATTTTTACACATTTTCCTCTAGGTATTTTTAATCAGGTTATGCTTTTACTTTGTTGATTTTTTTTCTTCTTTTTATTCACTAAAGTTTACATGTATCTTTTCTAATACTATAGGAAGATAATGAATTGCGGCTGGTACCTGGTGATGAGTTGCGGCTTCGTTATTCAGGTGATGCAACTCATCCAGCATGGCAGTCTGTGGGGCATGTGGTATGCTTTTTTTCCATCTGAATATAAGCCTTTTAATAAAAAATTGGTTTTTTAATTTATTTGATTTGTAATAGTGAATTTGTGAAATGAAGTACATGATATGTTAAATACAGTACTTTTCTTCACAATGTAAGTTATGGTTCTATCTCATATAGGTGCTCATTATATGCTCTGGTTGTGTTTTAGATCAAGTTGACTGCACAAGAAGAGGTTGCTCTTGAGCTCCGTGCCAGCCAGGTAATGTTAGTAATTAGTTTTATTCTTTGCTATGACAGGGTTTATTGAAAAGACGAAAAATGTGAAGTAGACCCAAGGGTCATGAAAACAATACCACAATTTTAGGGTTCCCTTTAAACATCTAGGAACTGGACCGGCATTGGGTGATGGCCTTTTGGCCTTTAAGCATCCATGACACATCTGAATAAAGTATTCCTAATCAAATGTATTCTTTTAACCATTTTTACAAAAGAAAGTATTCTTTCATTAAGTGAGAAAAGTCTAAGCAAGGAGCCAATCCCATTTATAAGTTGTTTTAACTTTAAGTCCAATAAAAACCAAGCTGGAAAAAGTGTCATAAAGATAGTTGAAGATGGAAGAAGCGAAAACCTTGAAGATGGAAGAAGACCTTGAAAATAGAAGCGAAAACTTTTGTCCTAGAGGAAATTTGGACCAGAGGAGAAGAGGCTTTGAAGATAGTTGAATTAAGGAAAGGTTCTTTAATCCTATCTGGAAGAGCAGTACTGTGGTTGCTTGGAGTGTTGAAAGGAGTTTTAAACTCAACAACTCAAAGAGAATGGAAGAGCTGTCATGTGGAAAGAGGTAGGAAGTACTTTGCAGAAAGAAGAGAAAATGGAAAGGGCAGGTATGTTGGAATACTTGAACACTACGGAGAAGGATTAAAACAACTGACATGTTTCCCTGAAGGGAGGAGAGCTTCAGGTTGGACTATGGTGGAGCAAGTTCTACAAGATTACCTAAGGTTGACTAGCAAAAAGAAAAGGGATAAAAAAGAAGCTCAAGATATGAATCTTTTGACGAAGAAGGTGGAGTTAAGTTCAACAAGCAGGGAGACAAAATTGCAATCTGGTGAAGAAGATGATTTACAGTTAGCTACAAACCTGGGTAAGCCGAAAGTTTGGGTGAACAGGCCCAAAGAAGATTGGGAGGATAAACTGGTGTTTGTTGCAAAGGACTTGGTGAAAGATTGGAACAGCATGGGAGACGAGTTAAAACAGGTGCTCAAACTCTCAGGTGATGTGAGGTTAGATCCTTTTGATGGAAGAAAGGCTTTGATCTCTTTGCCTCTTGGTAAACAGGAGTTTGTAGCAACTTCGGTAGAGAAAAAGCAAGGTTTGGCAATGGTCCCCCCTGAGTAACTCCAAGACTGTGGATCCAAATTTGTTTATCGAACTCAAAATCTTGGGTTTTCCGTTCCACCTCTGGTCAGAGGAGGTATTTAGAAGAATTGCTAAGCTGTGTGGGGGGTGAAATGGAGTTCTTCAATGACTCTAATTTGAGAGCAGCTGTAATAACTTTGTCAGGTGCAAAGCCAGATCTGATTCCGCGCCTGATAGAATTTCAAACAGGTGGAGTGGAGTACAGAACCTGGATTGCCATCTCCATTGAAGCTTCTTGGTGGAAGGAGGGAGATCTTGGTGAAGAAGATGATGATGTGGACAAAAGCAGCTCCTTTTTCAGCCAAAGAAAGGAATCACAGAAGGGGATTAGAAGTTTCAGAAATAAGGGAACTCTGGAGCTCAGTGTGGGAAAGGAAGTCTTACAGCTTCCTTCCTCTAATAGCAGATCAGGATCACTGGGTCTGAATCCAACAGCTCAATTCAAAACTTATGCCCAGATGACTGCTCTAGGCTCTGAGAAAGGACAGTTGGGAACCCAGACACGAAAACTTCTCTGCTCAATGACAGTTGGTGGTCAACAGAGGTCTGAACAGATTAAGGTTGCTTGCTTACCAGGGAAAGACAAAAGCTTTTTGAGTGGAACAGGTGTTATTAAGGTTGGCACTGGACCAAAGGTGAGACAAGTTTCAGAAATAAGGTTGACACGTGGTGCTTTAGGCAAACAAGTGGCAATGGAGGGAGTTATAAAAGATTGTGGGCCTGTCTTGGACAATTTTGGCCACACCGAAGCTGTTGGTGTTATTGGGCCTGGCCCAGTCGATCTTCAACAGGAAGATGGGCCATCCAAGTTAAAATCACGTGACTACTTAAGTGAACTTGTGATCAATAATAAAACCAAGGCTTTGGCAGACCAAAAAAGCCGTTTATCTTCGTCCCATATCTCTTCTGGGTCGAAGATTTCAGCATCTCTGAAAGAAGCCTGGGTCTGGAAGCCGAGGCTAGTCTCCTACTCCACAAGCCCGGAGAGGCCGAATCCGAGATATGCTCGGGACAAAGAAAAAGATGAAGTATTTTATTCGGGATGGGTTAGTCTCGATGAAGATTTTTCAGAGGATGAAGAACCTACTGAAGAGTCCAGCATAGGAAATGTGGGAAGCAAATATTCAGCCAAGCTAGGGGTTGCGGATGATGTGGGGCTGAGGCTGCTTTTTGAAACTGAGGCACCTGTTTTAAGAGAAAGGTCTATGGAAGAGGAACCACACAACCTTGGAAAAGAGAGTACTATTCTAAATGAGGGAAAGACCCAAACCCAAGGGAGAGCGGAACCTGTTGCAAGCAAACTCCAAGAGCAGGATGAAAGTGAGTGCAGTAGGGCAAACTCCAAACTACAATGTACCCTTCTCCCCAAACTAGCATTCTAAGGGCTGATTGCGGCAACACTAATCCCAGCACTCTTCCTCTTTTGGGTGTCCAGGGTCAACCAATTCCTTTAGGGTGTCCTCCTCCTCCTCCTCAAGGTACTGTTTGTTTCTCAGTTTTTGTTGATACTAATTCATCTTCTTGCCCTGGTGTTGCCTTGGTTACAGGTGAAACCATCCCTTCTCAGTTTTCTGCCAACTCAAGTAACTCCTTGACAAAAACAGAGGTAGTGGGAGGTGTGGAGGGTGAGGAGAGTAAGGAGAGTAAGGAGGAGGAAGGGGAAAGAATCTGGGAGCTGATAATGGTTTTATTTAGAGCTCTTGAATCGGAGGAGCTAGGTGATCTTCAAGAAAAGGATAAGGAGGGTGACATTCCGAGTCCCTCACCTTTAGAGGAGAAAGGGAAGGGTGAAGAAAAAGTTGCTTGTAAGAGGAAGTCAAGAAAGGTTGCAGAAAAAGGGAGTAGACCAGGAAAACCCCAGAGATCCAGCAAAAAAGTTAGATGATTTAGGAAGGAAAAGAAAGAAGAAATTAAGTGAAGTGGAAAGACTGAAGTGTGAAGTGGATTATGATAAGGGGGCTCTAGGGAAGAAGGGGAGATAGTAAAGAGAAGGATTTATCCCAAGGGTACTTCAGCCTGTTGATAATGAAGATAATAAGCTGGAATGTAAGAGGTTTGGGGAGCTCTAGGAAAAGAAGAGCGATCAAGGAGTGTTTGAGAATAGAGAAGCCAGACAGTACTGATTCAAGAGTCAAAGGTGGCCGATGTAGATAGAAGGTGGGTAAGAAGTTTCTGGTCTGCCAGAGGATTGAGTTGGACCTTTCCACAATCTCTAGGGTCTTCAGGGGGAATTATAACGTTGTGGAAGAACGAAGGATTGGAGTGCTCGGAGGAATTAATTGGAAATTTTATGGTCTCTATCAAGTTGAAGAGAAAGGAGGATGGTCTAGTGTGGGTGTTGACTAATGTTTATGGCCCTACGTCTTACAGAGAGAGGGGAGACTTGTGGGAGGAGCTCACAACTATCAGAGAAATCTGGGATGGACCTTGGTGCCTGGGGGGAGACTTTAATGTGATCAGATTCTTGCATGAAACTAATAACCCCAACCATAGGATTACCTCAAGTATGAGAAACTTCAATCTTTTTGTGGATTCCTTTGGATCGAGAGGCATGCCCCTGTTACAAGCCAACTTTACGTGGTCAAACTTCCAAGAGGTACCGATTTGTTGTAAGTTGGACATATTTCTTGTCTCTTCAGACTGGGAGGAAGTCTTGGGGGAGATGGTATCCAGAGCCTTACCAAGAACTACCTCAGATCACTGCCCAATTAGACCGTCTCAAGAAAGGGTGAGAGGAGGACCATGTCCTTTTAGATTTGAGAATATGTGGTTACTTCACCCTGAATATATTTCAAGGGTGAAACTTTGGTGGGAGGAGGATCAAGTGGAGTTTAGGTGGAAGGTCTATAGATTTTATAAGAAGCTACAAAGGCTGAAAGCCAAGATTAAGGATTGGAATAGGGAAGTGTTTGGAAGATTAGAAGAAAGGAGAAATTGGATTGCTCACAGATTAGAACAACTAGATGGTCTTGAAGAGGATAGAAGAATAAGGGCGGAAGAGAGGGCAGAGAGATGGAGGCTCAAGCAAGAATTGGAGGAGATTTTGAGAAAAGAGGAGATTGGAGGCAAAAATCAAGATGTAGGTGGTTAAAGGAAGGAGACGAGTACACTAGTTTTTTCCATTTGTTGGCCAACGGAAGAAAGAGAAAGAATTTTATATCCCAATTGGAGTGGGACGGACAAGTTTTAAATAGGGAAGATGACATAGCAGAAGCCTTGGTGTTTGAGGATCTTTTGGCGGATCTAGAAAAACCTTTTGAGACCCAAGAAATAAAAAGAGCAATTTTCTCTATGGAAAGGTCTAAAGCACCCGGTCCAGACGGTTTCACAATGGCCTTCTATCAAGATTGTTGGGAGATTATTAGTGTTGATGATCTTTTGGAAGTGTTTGCTGAATTTTTTGAGAGAGGCAAGTTCAACTTTGGAGCCAATGCAACCTTTGTTGCTTTAATCCCCAAGAAGCCAGAAGCGTCCCACCCGAAAGACTATCGACCTATAAGCCTGGTGGGAAGCTTGTATAAAATCATTTCCAAGGTGCTTGATCTCTCCAAACCAAGGTGCCTTCATTTTTGGAAGAAAATAATAGATCAAATCCTCATTGCAAATGAATACAAGGGCCGGAAAAAGGAGAAAGGCATGGTTTGTAAGCTTGATCTTGAGAAAGCCTATGATTTGGTGGACTGGGAGTTTCTTCTAGAAGTTTTGAGGCGTAGAAGCTTTGGGGTGAGGTGGTGTAAATGGATAAAGGGATGTATCTCCTCTGTCATTATTCCATCTTGGTTAATGGGGTAGCTAGGGACTTTTTCCAAGCTAAGAGGGGTCTTAGACAAGGGGATCCCC